TTCCTTCAACAGCTCATCAGGCAGTGACCTCGCAGACCTGGTCTTTGGTATCGTCTCTTTCTGTAGGGTTTGCGTAGGTAAGCGTGGTATATTACTTTTCCTGTCTCATCTCTGTTTATATGCTGGACAGCCATTGATCAGATGTCCTCACAAAACAGATGTCTGTACATTCCAGGTATCTACATGCCCTTCGCATCCTGTTTCTTTTCTTTCCACACATCTATCCAATCTCTTGTATCGAATTAGAAAAACAAACTGTCAAATAATTCATATGCTAAAATCATACAGTAATCAAGTATATCTATATTGTTTCAGACATATCATCAATGTATTATTGACTTGTTTTACCAGTGTATATGCTTTAGGCTGGTCACGTAACTCCTGGTAGATTAAATATCTAACAGTCTACTGTCATGGAAAATTTGTTGTGGTAAACACCATTGAATCAAAGGTCAGCCCTGAAACTGATAAATTACATTTCTCAAAGGCTCTTGGCATGAAATATCCAGGCTCTCCGTATTAGGAACATAACATCTTCACTGCCTCCAGCACTGGTATGAACCCCTTCTTGAGTCCCAATTCACCTTGTATCTGCATAGCGTGGATACAAATATGTTCTCAGATGCAACGCAAAAACAAAATATGATGCCAGAGAAGACTCTGGAATCAAGCTGGTGTGAGTACACTCTTACCGGTCTGCGGACCAGAGGGGCTGGCACCTTCTCCTGTTCTGTCTGTCATAGTATCATGAGGCTTGACCGGAGCAAGTGATTCTGACCAGCAAGTAGACCGTAATATTAATGGTGAAAAGCCAACTTTAAAAAGAAAGTTTAAACATTTCCTGGAGAAAGAAGACATGTGATTCATCATACGAAAGCAGCTCTGTGCATTCTTCCATGAATAACTTTTCATGGCAAAATTCACGTAATCTCTGTTCTTTCAGTTTTTGCTTTGATCAGCATAGGTTTACGCTACACAACATAGGTCCCTAATTTATTAGGAAAGCTAAACAGAATTAATTCAGGCTTATGCATGCTGCGTTCTGGTATGAATTTGCCATACATTCCATAATGCCTGGTGTGAAAGAGTACAGCCTGTTTTATTTATTTAACACCCCTCTAACAGCATCTTCTGAAGACATACACATTTCTAGTGAGAAAAAAAAAAAAAAGGAAAGAACATTCAGAAATTAGCAGTGTTCGTGGATTAAAAGATTCATGAGAAACACCACAACACAGATTAACCCAGCATTTTTAATGACTCCAGTCTGAAGACAGCAAGAGAAGATGATGAGAAGAGACAGCATAAAAAAGGGACAGTATGTTCAAAGCAGGAAGAATAAACTTTATGATGTGACTGTGTGAACTCAGTTGAGCTGTAGAGTTGAATGTAGAGTCATTTTTTTGACTTCAGAAGTGGCTACTCTGGAATTGGTCTGTGTGAGAACAGAGCTGATCTCCTGATGACTTGGTACTATGCTGATTATTTGGTTGTAGCAGGCAAACAGGTACTGGCATATTCTATTTTCTTTTTTTTCTGGATATAGCAAGGCAGCAGCCCACCGATGTGTCAATAAATGTTACATTAAGAAATATTCTCTTCATATAAAGTCAAGAGAGAGACAGAAGTGTGTTATGAAAAGTCCTTAAGAGGAATGGGATTTGATGCCCCATTGGTGCAAATTGCTGCTTATCCAGCCATGCCAGTGTTCTTGGGAAAGACATTTTGCAGTAACACTGCTGAACTCACTGGAGCCATGATAACTAAGCTTGGCTGAGATCTGCCCCGAGAGACTCACTTGGTCAAATTGTCCTCCAGGCTGCAGCTCTGACTTCATAAAGGACTTGAAAAAATGATTTCATTTCCTTTGCCTCAGTTTCCAGCAATGTAAATAGATACTGATCACATTCATCACAGTCTCACAGTTTGTCAGGCGTAGTTAAACCTGCTGGAGAATACAGTATTAAACAGCTCTATAGATAAGTGATGAAAGCATGAAGATGGGGTGAGACTTGTGGTAAATAATGGGCTGTTGGAAAAGCAAAAACAAAGCAACACAGTAATCCAGATATAGAACAGGATCAGAAACTGAGCTCCCAGTTTTGAAGAATCAGCTTCATCTCTGCCTGCTTGACACAGCTACTCGGCTGAGTGTCTGAGCTCGGAAATTCAAAGTTTTCAAAATAAGTCTTGTCTTTCCTAGGTAAGAATAGGTTCTTCAGTAGAATTTAAGAATTTTTATCAAGTTAGGTAAGGTGTTATGTAACATCAGTTTCATTTCTGTTGCGTTACCCATATTTTTTTTCTGTCAGAAATGCATTTTAGATGAATATTTAATGCCCTTGCTTTTAAGAAAGTATCTTTGAATCACTTCAGTCTGCTGCTTACTTCAGGTTTCTCGGAGAGGAGGAGCTGCGTGAGCTGAATACTGGTGTGCTGTTGGATACCATGACTGAAAAGGGAAGGTACAGCTGAATGTGGCAGAACCACACATTTTCCCTTAGAAAGGGAAGAGAGCGAAGCAGAAGATAACAAAACCTGTCACCTGAGTGTCCACAAGAGAAACTATGAAGGAGCGTGAGATCCCACTTGGCTGTGTCCAAGAGGGAGAGCAGGGAAAACAGCACAGGCACAGCGTGCCTCTGAGTGGAGGCAGAGCTCTTGGAGTCTTCAGATGAATTATAGTGCACGGAATTATTTTTGCTACAAAGTTAATAGTTTTTCTCATTCATAATCTTTTTTATTTACCAGTGAGGCAACTAAAATATTCATTCAGCATATTGTGCTTTAAAAATATAAAATACAAAGATCAGTAGACGTGTTTTCAGTCTGTTGTTCCTGACATTACTCATCATACCAGAACAAGCTGTGTATTTTGTAACTGCATTCTTTTTTTTCCATCAGATCTTGTTTCTTTTCGGAGGTTGAAGTGTGAAGCTCAGTTGTTGCTTCACCTTTTGTAGAACTGATGCATGAATTTTTGTTCCTACTCTGTTTCAATAAGTATCATCTATTTTGTTATGTAGGTGGCTCTTCATGTAGTATGGTTGGTTTAGAAAATCTGGTTAGTAGAGGAAGTGAACACATTTTAATCTTAAAATTAAATGGTGATGGATTGTAAAAACAAGCAAACAACCTTGCCTCCCACCCCTCTCAGATAAACTCCCTATTTTTTTCCTGTCTTGGAAAGGAGCAGATGATTTCATTGCAAGTCATCCTGTTCACATGGGCAAAGTCTTGACCCGTGAGATGTATCGCAACACCTTTTCTCTTTCATCTGGTTTTCTGGTTTCTAAACTGAAAGATGTCATGGTTTCTATGAGGGGTAGAAGAATGAGCTCTCAAAAAGATTAATGAACTCTTCCAGCTGAAGTTGATACATTGTACCAATGTCCATTCATGTCTCTGCACTCTCCATGTAGTGCCGGCTGCTTTATATTACTCAGAAGTTTGGATGTAATATACAGATATAATGCCTATTTAAGTAAGAATATCTTAATTTGTCTTTAAACACTGTCACTTCGTTTAGTCCAAAGCTGTGTTGTAACTGTATACACATTACAACATTTTAATTTAATACTGTAGCACCTCAGTACATACACTATTTTATTACAAAACTTTTCTATTACTAGGTCTTGTTGTTATTACAAAAATAGGAGCATGCCAGATAAGACAGTAAAAGAAAGAGAAAACTTCTATTTTATCAATGAGTGATTTTGTATAGCTCAGTTTTGGAACCTCAAAGGTTGAATCATTTTTCAGTCTTTATTTGCAGTGAAGCTTGTGTTAGAGTCATGAAATGCCATACCTTGGTTGTACTTAAATATTTTGAAATGAGTAGATAAACCCGTGATAAACCATGGTTCATGTTTTCTTGCATGCCCATGCAAGAATAACTACACAAAGATTTTAAAACTTTGTCATCATAAAGTTTGATTCTAAAATTAATGTCTCAGCTTTGCCTGTAGTTTTGAAAACACTCTATAGCTGTCTCTCTTTTAATGTTTTAGGGAAAGTATTACTAGAAGTGGTAAACTGGCCAGCTGAAGTGCCTGGCTTGCTTTGTGCCTTAGCCAACACCGCACATGGAGAAACTTTTTGACAGACACGTCTATATAACTTAGTTGAAGCTAAAGCATTGTACTCCTTGGATATTATTTGTGAACTGCTGTGATTTCTTAAAATTAGATCCAAGACTGGTTGCTGTTTGAGGGGCAAATAGTGCAAGAGGACACTAAAGATGGATTTTTTGCAAACAGATTTTATAATAAATTGTTTTTGGTATTACTGACCTTCTTGATCATTTGCCTTAAACATTTCTGTGCTGGTTTTAGAATGACATTTTATATAAGATACTGCATTAGAAATTTGTTTTGTAGGCTACCTTACAAATGAATGACTTCTGCTCCTGCATCTCTTAAGGGTCTCCCTCAACTGTAACAGAACAAGCTTTCCATGATTTATCCACCATCCTTGTCTTTATGTTTGTACAGTTTTTCTCCTTTTCCTTTCATCTTTGCTTTTGCCAGTTTTGTTGATATAACATCCTTGCAGAGACTACAGCAGCTGCTCACATTCCAAGTAATTAAACATAAAGGGAGGGACTCCTAAAAACTTTATTTCATTAAGGGCCTTTTTATGTTTGTGGTAGTCTTGTGGGTTTTCCTCTAGCTTGTGATGTGCTGCACTCTGAAGCGGATGATGTTCTCCAGCGCAGGAGAAATCCTTGCTAAGTCAAACCTTGCTGAACCTTGAGAAATCTTGGTGAGGCAACGCTCTTAACTAACTTTTGGCTGCTTTTACAGAGGCTCAGGTTCATCATTGTACAGTTATGTTGTAAAAACAGTATAAGGAGTCAAAGCAATATACCATAGCAGCTTTGTGGGCCTACCAGCATACTTTTGGTGGAACATAGCCTGCATAAACTACAGCTTAATTACACTGGGTAGCATATATAATTCATTCCCTAATTTTATGATTATCACTTTGGCCTGTTTCAGATAAGAAGACAAGGTGGAATACAATTACTGGTGGACCTATTGGACCATCGGATGACAGAAGTCCACCGTAGTGCCTGTGGAGCTTTGAGAAACTTGGTATATGGGAAGGCAAATGATGACAACAAAATTGCTCTGAAAAACTGTGGTGGCATCCCAGCATTAGTACGGTTACTCCGAAAGACGACAGATTTGGAAATCAGAGAACTGGTCACAGGTTTGAATCTTTCAATATTTTTTGTTCAAACTTCATGGAGGCACTGCAAGCACAGTTCTGTACTTTGTGCCACTTTGTCCATCAGTAACTCTTTATTTTATTACCATCTTTGCTGTAGCAAAACGCTTTCAAGCCCTTTGGATATCTATGTAATGTATGAAGAGCTTTAGTCAACATTATGCAGATAGTTTACAGATGCAGGCCTGATTTATGCTCTCAGTTGCTGGTCACTTTGGTTAGCTCTGAATGTTCTTGCAGATGTGCTCCATACACAGACACATTGTGATGGGAATCCTCTGCTCTCCCACTTGTCTGGTGTAGGGCTGCAAATGCAGAAGTCAGATTTCACTGATTTTTCTTAGAAGCTGTTATTAATTTCTTTTATAGCCTATATAGTGAGAAGGAGGATTTGAATGTGGGTGTTTTTTCTACCTTTGTGAATTCTGATAGGAAAATGGAGAGATGGATCATGTCATCTTCTGAAACCTTTTTTCTGAAATTTGATAGCATGCTATGTGATATGCTAGACACATGGTATGCAGGTAAAGAGTCTTATTTCTTTTCTTGATATAGTAGAATCTGATCTTTTAGGATTGTTTGGACTTCTTCCCTTATGAAATTAAAGATTTTGTGGGGTTTTTTTCAGAAATACAGAAGTGCTGTCAACCAGTACCAATCTGAAATGTTTAGAGATTTTTTTCCCGTTGCCCCTAAGCTATCCTGTTTAAAATGCAAAACAGAAGCTAGATGGGTTTTTTGATTTTTCACTTTGTGATTTCATTCTATTTGATTGCTAACATCAATGTGGTGATTAATTTAATACTAGAAATAAAAAAGCTTAAGATCTTTTCATTATCCTATTTTACAATGGCTGTATTTCCATTATGATTTTCATACTAAAATAAGTAAGAAAAGTTCTCATTTCTGTTGTAGAAGCCTCAGTACACACTATCATCTATGCTTCTGCAGAAATTACTTACCCTTGTGGGTCAAGCCTCATTTAGGATACAATTGATAAGATTATTGTCCTTTGGTTGACTGCAGGTTCCTTCCTTGAGGGTGTCGAAATAAACTGCATAGTGTTTATTAAATGTAGATTTTTATATTTAATTGTGTTTCTTAGTTACAACACCAATCACCTCATACTTGTTAGGCAGGATTAATGGGACAGAGGTACTGGGTTACACGAGCTCTGATGGTGCCTCCTGCAGAGTGACAGAATTACTGACAGATCTAATAAAGTGTAACCACCGCTTCGGATTCAACATACTTGTTTGTCTCTTGGTTATGTTGTCTGTGTCCTGGCTCCAGGGAACATTCTGCCTATTTATTCTGAGTAGTAAGTGGCAAACTGCTAATGAACATCAGCAGTACACCTCAGCAGTCACAGTGGCACTTCCCATGCTGTCTGCAGACAGAACGCATAATGTCATTAGGTCAGTTCAAGAAAAGATACTAGACTATGTTTACATTCCTTCCATTGCGCAATATGTTGTTAAATTTTCCTGAATTCCTGCAGAAAGAAAAGGTATATGTGCTAGCAGGTGCTCAAACTGTTACTGCTGAGAAGAGTCAGTATTGACTATCAGTAGCAGGGAGTAACCAGCCTTTGTATGGGCAGATGCATCTCCCAGGGATGGTGAGCGTCAGGAGTGTCAGGACATCTATGAAGGGGGACCAGAGCAAGATGGTGATCCTGAGGAATGGAATAAAAGCCACTGGTAGTTGAAGATTTTATTCCTGGACCTGTTTTTGTATTGTTTTGTTTTTAAGAGCCACTACATCCCAGAAAGCCACTGCCTGCCCTGGCTGGGTTTTCTGCCTTTCGGTGTGCAAGCTTTGAAAATGCAAACCGGTAGTGGTAGTGTTCTGCAATGCTCCTTTCCAAAACAACACTCAGAGCTGCACCTCTCATCTTGCATCTCTCAGGAAACAGGCTGAAATCGTGCATCTGAATCAGTTCTCATTTGCTTTTTTTGTAACACGTTGTAGCATGACAGCTGCCCCAGTTAAATTGCTTCCCTCTGTCCTTTCTGGGGAAGGAAGGATGGCTCCTGCAGCAGCTGCCTCGGTAATGAAAAAATTTGACTTGGTGATGGGCACAAGGGAAAATAAAAGAAGTTTCTCCTGCTTCCCATCAGCCTTCCTGAGTTGAAGTGGCAGGAAGATAATTATTTCAGTAGTGCCACCATAGCCTGAAGGAAGTACAGAGAAAATAATAGCAAATGTGTGTTTTAGGAGTAAACATAATACCTTGAGCTTTTCCGTCTCATGTTATTGTTCATCCTGTCTACATAAAAGCTGTACTTGTTTGTTACTTTTAGAGAGGGCACAAAGTTCCTACCTTAGGAATTCATATAGGCTCTGTCATTGCTGTCCCTAAATACTCCTCCAGCATTTGTCCTCAGAGCGCTTCTCCTAGGTGGGGATGTGTCATTATCTCAGTTGTAGGGATGGGGAACAGTGAGCCTATCAAGTCCAAGTGACCTGTCCAGAAATCTGGCAAGATGAAGGTGTGAATCACTCTGAGTAGGCACATAGCTGTGAGGGAAGAAATATAAGCAGGAGAGGTTTTAGCACCTCGATTTGTCTGAACAGTAGTGAAGCTTTCATCGCCGGCCCCAAGTACAGTGAAGCACATGCCTACCAGAGCAAACGATACAATATTAGTTCCTTCCTCAAACATGCACATTTTCTTCCTTCTTGCTGCTTCTGTCTAAGGAGATTATAGTTTCAATTTCCAGCTATCTCAAGACTTGTTTTGGAAGTGTGTATAAACACACAGACCAGTTTTCCAGCCCAGCAGCTCCTTGCTTGTCAGGACTGCTTTTGACGCAATTTGTGGCTTTTCCTCTTTTCCAGAGATTTCTTTCTGCCATAATCTCTCCAAAATGGAGTTTTTCACATCTTCCTTTATCTCGTCTTTCTCCTTCTTGGTAGCAGAGGACTCAAGCTAATGTTGGAAAACGTTAACATGCTCAAATTTTTGGATTGGGCAAAATGGACCTTATTGCAAAGTGAAACAGCTTCAAGGCTTTCTCACAGGGAGCAAATGGTTTTGGTGCAGGCTCCCATGTAGAAGCCATGAGGGAAGTTTGCTGCTTGGCTGTTATGAAATTAAATGCTGAAATATTGAAAGATTACTTTTCCAGAAACACTTTCACAAGAAGAACCTAGATAAACTGAGGTATACCAATTAATATGTACGTTTACACAGAAAAGGGATACTCTGATGGAAATAGAGATTTCAGCATGGCCTGCAGCTTCTCATAATTTCCAGAGTCAAGGAGAACCTGAATTACAGTATCTCCTTTCATGTAGGTCTGTAAATGAAAAGGAAGTTGATATAGGCTGGATGCTTCATACTTAATTTAGCCATCTTTTCACCCAGGTGTTGTATTACTAGTTTCCACAGTACCTCCTGTTAATGGGAAAAAAGAAAAGCCTTCTATTTTAAAATAATTAAATGTTAACACTTTCCTAATAAATATAAATAGACTAGACAGTACAAAAGAAGACAGTACAAAATTAGCACAGATCCTGCAGATGGTAGAAAAAAATATTTTCACTTGTTAGTAATGACAATGAGTAGCTGATTTGTGACTCCCTTGCCTTTCCTGACTTAAAGTTAATTATGAACCATTCCACAAAATTCAATTTTAGCATTCTTTCTATTTGTTTTACTCTCAAGAAAAAAAAAAAAAGACATGAAAAATGTGAAGTGTTAGCAAGGCTAACACAGAAATTGTGTTGATGCCTTGTGGAGGTGAGGTCAAGCAGCCATTGCTAGATTCAGCCCACGCTGGCTCCTTGTTCCATCAGCGCTCCATCTGATAACAGGGTACCTATCTTAGACAAAATGATTTAAACTGCTGTTCTTCTCCTCTTAACAAACAATATCTATCACAACTGGAAACGCAGTTTCTGCCTATGAACAATAAGATAGCTGAATTAGAAACTGCTCCGTTTTAAGAGGCCCTCTATATGATTGTATCACCCATTTTCGAAGTGTATATGCCATATTTGAATGAAAGGTAAAAGTGGATGATCCAGATTTAGAAAGCACATAAAGAAATATAGCTATAAATGATAACAGGAGAAACTGTTTTTTCCTGCACTGGCAGCCAGCCTTCTGCTTATTTTGGTTAACATTAGAGTGTCAGAGATTTAAGTATTGTCTACTGAAAATATTTAAATTATGGAAATTAGCATATTTACAAAAAAAAATTAAAAAGCATAAACTGTCTAATACTATACATATATACTGTATGTAGATAAATAGACTCTGTATGTTTCATTCACATTTGTATTCACTGAATCAAAAAGCAAATATTCCATTCCTGAAAAAAATTATAAGACATTTTGTACATAATGTTGCTTTCAAAGAAGCACTGGTTGTTGAAGTGTATTTTGCTCATGGTTGACTTGATCTTTTCCTTCCCAGATTTTGGATTCCAATATTCATTAGTATTATCTTTAATTTCAGCTGTGGCCAGTTTGTGTTTTGGCTTGGTTGGTCCTTTCTTGTCACCCCATGTTATGCAACATTATTGTGTAGTTGTTTTACACTTCTGTTCTGTTTTAGTACATGCCTTGTTCATGGTGTAACCTGTTTGTCACTGTTACTGAAAGCAATGATATGTTGTCCCCCTTATCTCTATATGGTTTGAGGTAACCACTGCAGTTTAAACCTCCTTTTGATTGCATGCTGCTTATTGGCATGAGCATAAATTTTTGGCAGGTTGGTCAAGACACTCCAGAAGGTCCCCTTTGATCCTTGTGTGTGTCTTTGCTAATCAGTGTAATTGCAAGGTAGTGAACATGCAGAGATATGTAAAGCAGGTTTAAGGGAGTATTCTATTGAAATGGACCTTTTGGCTTACTTCAATGGAAGATTTATTATGATTTTTTATTTTTTTTAGGTAACTCTGGTCATTTCTTTAGAATTTATAGCTTCTTAGTAAAATGGCGATTCTTCTGTTAGGGGTTCCCAAAGTCAA